CACATCACGTTACGAGGCATAGACACCTATTAAATGTCATTACTTCATTTTCATATTCAGGAAAAATGCAATAGTTTTAAATTCCTGGGTTTTCCTAGATTGGAAAAACACCTCTCTTGCCAAACACATTTTTTTTCTTTTAAGGTTTACATAGAGTCAGTTGGTAATTGTTCTAACTATAGAAGTTAACTGTCAGTAAAGTACTAAACTTACAATATATAAGAACTACACTTGTATAATGTTAAGGAAATTTAAGACAATATAATATTTTAAATCACTGTAATTTGATGGCACATGAGATCTGTATTTTTGTGGCTATCCTTTGTTTCTGAACTTCTGCAGAAGAAGGATTTTTTTGCAAAGTTCATTTGGATTCCTTACAACTTGGGAAAAAGTATATAGTATGTCAAACTTGTTTGTCTGCATATCTTAAAATGCTGCCAAACTGCTTGTTCCCACTTGAAAATCAAACTGTGTGTTTGTTTGTGTGTGTGTGTGTGTGTGTGTGTGTGTGTATGTGTGCATGAAAGAAAAAGAATACTTCAAAAAGTAGAGCTGTTTTACACTGCGAAAAGTCTTTGATACTTACAAAATGTAAAATATAAAAGCGTATGCAATATTTTCCTTTAAAAAATACCATCATGCTGGTAAACAGGAAAACAATGAACATACACATTAGAAGGATTTTTGTTTAATCTAACAAATTGGGTTGCAATCTTTAATTCTAAATGCGCACCTCATTATATTTTGCTTTTGAGTATTGTGATGCTCTAAATATGTTTCCATTTACACTTCAGTATTGCAGCATCCCAATTTCTATCAAGATCGAAGTTGAGAGGATTTTTTTTTTCAAAATAAGAGCAATTTAACAGCTAGCTAATTTCCCACACTGTTCAGCCAAATGCATATGGGAACCCCAAAAGCTCCCAAACAGTATGTAACATTTGAAGATGATGCGCAGCTATTATGCTTTATAACTATACACACTGAATCACTATATCAACTCTCAGCCCAGATCAACATTCATTCATCTCTAACATGGAATCTACTTGCTTGAAGGGGAATCACGCGTCCTGGATAGAATGCAAAGACCAATTAACCAAAATCTGTCCCCAGAGAGTTAGCATTTTCTCCTGAAAAAGACCGTAGAGAATACTCTGAGAAAAAAGGAGCAAGAAGCTGCGTGCCAACGTGGGAGGCTGAAAGTTGTGAGAGGGAAGGAGAGAGAAATTTTCAGGTAATAACCAAATATAAGAGGGAGATATTAGATAACTCTCATCTTTTAATATTACATAGAACAAATGAGTGTTCCTTATTAAAAATTAAAATTAAAATAAGGCAGTTCGGCGGTTCGAATTCCTAGCGCCACATAACGGAGTGAGCTCCTGTTACTTGCCCCAGCTTCTGCCAATCTAGCAGTTTGAAAGCATGCAAAAATGCAAGTAGAAAAAATAGGAACCACCTTTGGTGGGAAGGAACAATGTTTCATGCACCTTCGGCATTTATTCATGCCAGCCACATGACCTCGGAGACATCTTCGGAGAGCACTGGCTCTTTGGCTTTGAAACGGAGATGAGCACCACCCTCTAAGGTTGGGAATGACTAGCACATATGTGTGAGGGGAACCTTTACCTAATTCCCATTTTTTTTCACATAGACTCCCTCTCCTACAGGAAAAGCTTTTATGCAAGATTAAGAGAAACCAAGCACCCATATTACAAAAGCCCACCCCCCACTACAAAGCTTATTTAAGGTGTGATCCAGATTTACAATGCAATTTCCCAATCATTAAAATAATCTGGCATCCCAAACATAAAAAGAATACCAGCTAATTTTTGGAAAGGGTTTTCAAGGGCTTTTACTGAAAATGGGGATAGAGGAATCTTACCATACACCGAGATTACTGCCAAGATGAGCCAAGCAGTCCACTCAGGAAGATACTTTATAAACACCAAGGCCATTAGAGCACTTATCATAATGAGGTAGGCTTGTTGAAGACGGAGGGGGCCTTTCCAGTGAACGCAGATCATTCCGACGACCCCAAAGTTCCAAATCATGAGGGCTACAGTAATATAATCCATGGCAACGTTATAGGTCTTAAAAACCTCCCTAAAAGACAAAGACAAAATACTAAGAGGCGCTTGTGATTTTGACAATAGTATATAGTGTAAAATTGTGATATTCAAATAAAGCACCTTGCTCCTTTCCTTGCCATCTTAAGTTTTAAGTCAATTTTAGTGTTACTTTTTATTGTTTTATCATTTTGATGTTTTATTTTGTTGCTTTTATTGGTTGTTAGCTGCCTAGGGCTGACTGTAGGTGAGATGGGCAGCACGGAAGTTTAATAAATAAAAAATAAATAAAAGATGTGAACAACTATTTCAATGCCAAATCAATAGTGTTATCCAGAAATACAAACGATTCAACAGAAAATAAAACGACTGCACAGCATTGTAGAAAAAGAAATCAATATGGGACATACAGTATGTAAACATAAATATTATTATGGTAGCCAAAATTAGATGAACATATTTAAGAGATTTAATATACAATCTGATAGTTGCTGAAGGTAGGTTTTTTTTCAATTTATTAAGACAGCAATTTTAAAACAATCTTTTATGTACAGAGTTTAAAGTTTATCCCAGCTTCTTCAACAATGCTGATAGGCAGAGCAGTTTGCCATTACAATTGTTGTGGTAACCTGTATTAGTTCTCTCAGCTGGTCAAGAAATAGAATACAATAGACTTTTAAGAAGTTCAAAGAACTAATAAATAGATGTACTGCAGCACAGTTAATGAAGTCCTTATGAAAGAGTTTTAGCATCTATGTGAAATGCATGTCTTTATCAAGATTCAAACTCTTGCTTTTCTGGTTGCTGCCTATAACGGGTTAAAAGCCATACCCTTTGGGGAGGGAGGAATGTTCTACACATTTATCATTTTGGCAACAACTAATCTGGTTGTTTACTTGTACTATGCTTTCACTTGCCCATTTGCACTGAAAAGTTGGGAGAAAATTCTGTTGCTATGCACTGTATCTGAGGAATGAGCCTTGAACTATGCAGAACTTAGCATGGTGTACAAGTATTCCTTGTGGATATGACCTCTTTCTCTCTCTTTCCCTCCCAAAGATCATCATATCATCATAAACCTTGATCTTTCTATCTAAAGCATCTGAACTAATATTAAAGCACAGAAAGAAAACCCGCCTGTGAGAACCATCATTACAGCCTTATTTTGCTTTCATTGTACAAATGAAACCTCATTTTAGTACATCCTGATACAATGGACTTTGTAAACATAGCTCTGCTCATGTCATTATTTAAGTGGACAAATGACAAAATTATTTTGTTTGCATCAACCTGTATTATATGCGTAATGAAATCATTACATAAATGATGCAAATCATTACATTTAAACGACTTCCACAAATAATAGACATCTCTGTCCCTAAAGAAATGAAATTTCATTGTATTCATTGACAGAAGTATGTACGTGTGTGTGTGTGTGTGCGCACGCGTGCGTGCGTATAAACACAGAATAGAAAATGTATATGTGGTTTGGTTTGTTTGAAATCCAAATGGTCGCATATTTTTAAAAATGATACAAAACTCTGAATCATAAACATTTGTTATAGTTAAATGTAATCCTTATATATAAACCTTAATATACAGTAGTTGCTAGGATTAAAGGTTACTTAATATTAAAAAAACTGAACCTGTTCCCCCCATTTTGACAAATCTAAATAGCAAAACGTTTCTATACTTACCCTAAGTAAATAAATGAGAAAAAGAAAAGCAAAAAGAGAGAAGAAACAATGAGCCAGCCGTGGATCACCTGAAACACCAACAAAAATGTTTTTAATGTTCAGACTTGATGTTAGATTGACCCTTTCAAGAATGGCTATTTGAAACTTTAGAACATTTTCACATAAGTCCCACCTAGATAACAAGGATTTATAACCATCTCTTTCTCTGTCCTAAGCCCCTTTTTAAAGCCCTTAAAAATCCTAAAACCCCTCTTAAAGGATTATGAGATGAAATTATATTCATATACTCCTCGACGTACGACCACAATTGAGCCCAATTTTTCTGTTGCTAAGCGAGACATTTGTTAAATGAGTTTTGCCCTATGTTATGATCCTGCTTGCCACATTTGTTAAGCAAAGTTAATAGCAGGGTTGTTAAGTGGATCTGATTTCCCCATTGACTTTGCTTGTCTGAAGGTCACAAGCACCTGGGACCCTGGGATACTGTAATATGAGTCAGTTGCCAGGTGTCTGAATTGACTGTGGGGATGCTGCAACGGTCATAACTATGAACCAGTTGCCAAGCTTCTGAATTTTGATCACGTGACCATGGGGATGCTGCAATGGTCACAAGTGTGAAAATGGTCATAAGCCACTTTTTTCAGTGATGATGTCATTTTGCGTGGTCACTAAATGAACTGTTGTAAGTCGAGGACGACCTACAGTGTACATCTGGAATGGGTACAAAATGCTCTCTACTCATCTATTATCTGATCGTGCTGAAAAATCCAAGATCCTGGCAACTACTGCCTGCTGTTTAATTTAAGTTTCACGCTTAGAATTAAAGATGCATCTGATCTGAAAAGAATGTGTAGTCCTGAACCTACAGTATTCTTTGGAGTGCACAATATGGGGTTTTATCCAGTGCTGCCATCAGAGTACTGACACTTGATCAATATGCAAATGAAGATAATTATGGCTATAAGTTCAGTGCAGAAATATTCACAGATACTTCTGATAATAAATGTCTTACATATATTGCATCATCCATAAATTAAATTGTTCTGTGACGCAACCAACCTACACATTATTTCAAAATTAAATTTAAAGTAAAAAGTATCGTTTAATAGTGCATAAAGGCAGAATTTGGTTTGCCATGCTTCATTTGGCAATTTTGTCGACATTAACTGATCTGTTGCACCGGATTCCATTCACTCATTAAAATCTAATTTAAAAACTTTCCAAATTTATACTGCAGAATGATTTAGTTTTGTCAATAAAGCCTGGATTGCTTACATCGATCTGTGGATCATGTAAAAGAATAAAGTTTGTCTTTAACAAAACAAAGAGGAACAAAAATCTGGTGAAATTAAAGGAGTCACCCGGCGTCAAATTTCCATGGAAGTCGCCTATACCCACGAATGGTGAAGAGGCGTCAAGTACAAGTACAAGTACATAGGCCAACATTTGGTTATTTGAATACATTTGAATATCAAGTTAATAGTCATTTTAATTTATTTCAGGGTCACCTCCTTCTCCAAAATCATTTTTCAATAAATTTAAAATAGCTAACTGCCAATTTCTGATGGTCAGTGTTACAAATTTCTTTTGAAAAGTACAAAAATATGTATTTTTTTTTGTCCCGTTCTGCTGTTTTATAGTTAATCTTCAGATGAAGCATAGATTTAACAAGTGCTTTGGTCCTTTACAAACTGGAATGCAGTTAAGTTCTAGAATAGCATTACAAATAAATGGAGATGGGACTTTGAATGAAAATATTATAAATAATTTTGAGCTCACCTTATAGCACCTATACTTATAAAGCACAACCAGGAGTACAGTCATGACAACAATGACACTAATCATGATGGCAGCATTGAGTACAGAATTCAGAGCTCTTTGTCCAACAGTTTCTGTATCTTCTGTAAATGGAGTATAGATTCTACAAAGCAATGCACAGCAAAATAAAATATGTCACATGCTTTTAGGTCAGGATATATTTTCTAATTAAATCCACCTGAAAAGAAGTCAACAAATATTGAGCACTTTATAAAGTTTCCTGTATGCACCATCTAGTGGCTATGAAATGAATTATTACAAGCACATAGCTACTTCATTTTAAGCGGCCAACGAAGTCAAAAAGACAGCAGGAGAATATGAAGCTGCTGAATATGTACCATAATCCCTGTCATCCTTGTCACATAAAACACAAGACAAGTTATGTTGATCAAGACAAAGCTGACCCAATATAATAAAATTCCCTAGGTAATTTTATGTCATATTATGAAAGAAGTCATACATCTGTCTACATTCCATATTGTATATATACTGTACCTATGTGCACATGGACATAAGCATACATGCAAATGTTTATTTACATACAAATATACCTTCTCGTTCCTATGTCCTCTACCAAAGTCCTGGGAGTTTGAGGGTTCTGCACAGTATCTTGGCTGTTCCTAGTACTACACTCTTCTGGCTAGAGCGCGCTGGTGTTTTTCCTGGAATCTGTTGGCGCCACTCTCCCAGCTTAGGGGTAACAGCTCCAAATGCTCCTACTACCACCGGTAACACTTTGACCTTTACTTTCCATATTCCCTTTAGCTCCTCCTTCAGGTCCTGGTACTTCTGCAGTTCCTCATACTCCTTCCTGATGTTGCTGTCACTTGAGACTGCCACATCAATCACCACTGCTGTCCTCGGGTCCTTATCTACTACAATGTCTGATTGGCTGGCCAGTACCTGCTTTATCCACCTGGATCTGAAAATCCTATAGGATTTTAACCCTGTTATTTTTCACAACCTTTTGCAGAATCTCCCATCTGGATTTGGAAGGCCCAAATCCTGTGCAGACGTTCCTGTAGATAATGCCAGCTATTCAGTTGTGCCTTTCAGTGTATGCAGTTCCTGCCTTCCTCTCACACCTGCCACTATCTGTTGGACTGTTTCTGAGGCCTCTCTGCATGGTCTGCATCTGGGCCCCCATCTATTGTAGTAGACTCCTGCTTCTATGGATAGCAATAGCAATAGCAGTTAGACTTACATACCGCTTCATTGGGCTTTCAGCCCTCTCTAAGCGGTTTACAGAGTCAGCATATTGCCCCCAACAACAATCCGGGTCCTCATTTTACCCACCTCNGGGAGGTCTTATTATTTTTGAGGTGCAGGAGACAGCAAGCATAGTCGCCTCATGGCTGCTGCTGGATTGCAATATTTTCAGGGAGGGTTTATTTTCAGGGGAGGGCTTATTTTAGAGCATGTGCTCAAAAGCCCAATTGGGCTTATTATCTGGGGAGGTCTTATTTTGGGGGAAACAAGGGTGGATAGTTGCCTGCTTCCAGAGACAACAATCTATCCTGGATGTCCTTCAGAGATAAACTGCCAACAAGGATTGTTCATAAACGAGGTGAGAAAATCAAAATGGAGAAATTGCCATGTAAATTGCAGTGAGGCAGATTTTTTTAACCACATTTCCATTTTGTCACCTCTGTCACTGTGCTGAATAGCAGAGAACTGTTTACAAGGAATCTGAAGAGAGACAGGAGTCTTTAGTGGGTAGAAAACTTTTTTTTCCAACCAATAAGACAGACATGCCTAAATTCACTGTAAGAAATTCTATGATAATGGGGAAAAAGTCTCTCCTCTAAACATCAGAAGCAACCCACCAAGCATTTTATAAAACTGGATGGTTAATTTCTATCATACTATAAGCCAGGGGTTATCTGCATGTATGTCAAGATGGCAGGCACAGCTGTGGGTGTGATGCATACAATTCATGTTGAAAAGACAGAAGGTTTAAATCATACCTAGTATTGTGACTTCTTTTACCACCCCCTATGTAGACATTTCTGCTATAAGCAGACAACTAGTAACCACATCTTCATTAAGAGTTGAATAGTCTATCGTGGAAGCAAGAGTTTTAGTAATTTTGGACAGTACTGGGGCTCAGTGGCTAAGATGCTGAGCTTGATAATCAGAAAGTTCGGCGGTTCGAATCCCTAGTGCTGCGTGAAAGAGTGAGCTCTATAGCAGCGTTCTGTGCGCCTTTGGTGTTTAGTCATGCCGGCAACATGACCACAGAGATATCTGTGCACAGTGACAGCTCTCTGGCTTTGAAAAGGAGATGAGCACATTCCCCCCCTCCCACAGAGTTGGGAACGACTAGCACATATGTGCGAGGGGAACCTTTACCTTTACCTATGAAATTCAATTTTTATTGAAAATAATTTGGTAATTCCAAATACACAGGATTTAGCTACCGGTGTCTGTCCTCTTAACCAAATGGTGTTTGTAATTGGAACTCTTGTGCCTTTCCCTTGGAACCTACATGTCCTACACCACTGATGTGTCTAGGTTTTTTTTTATGGCTTCCTTTATTAGGAAAACACCATTATCTCAAATCAAAATAGTAAGAAAGACACACACAAAAATCTGTCCAAAACTTATTATTGCCTTCTGTCAAGAAATTCCTGACAGAGGCACCTGACAATATTAAAAAAAATATGACCAACTCTTGAGCATCAGGTTCATTGTTCCAGGTTCTACAATTCTGTGTCACTGGCAGGTCTTATATGGTGATCACCCTGAAGGGATTGCAAATAGGTCTGTTCCGGTGACTTCGCTTTTTAAAAGAGTAAGAGAGGGAAATGTTCTTTCTCTCGCCCCTCCTTCTTTGAGGTAGAGTTCCGATTTTCACTTTCAAGTCTGGGCATCATTCCAATCCAGCAACTAGCAATTTCTCTAGATGGAGGCTTCTCGGAGAGGCTGAACTTTTTCTACAACATCTTATTAGCGAATGGTATTTTTCTAGTCAGAACTGACAAGGATTTTTACTTTCCTTTTTCTTGTGAAAGTGGGGATAAAATTCAGAAACTATCATCCATCTATCAAGTTTCAGAGGGATGAGAGGAATTATCAGATATCCATGCTGGAAATACTGTATAATTTATTTTTAAAAAAAAACAGAAAGAAAAACCTGCAAGAAAAAAAATCCTGAAGTTGTCTAGTTGATACGTTTAAAAAATTCCTAAGGAAGAGCATTATTACATATTTTAACTAGTTACGGCAAGGGTCCCCAAACTTGGCAACTTTAAGACTTGTGAAGTTGAAGTCCACAAGTCTTAAAGTTGCCAAGTTTGAAGTATTCTGAGTTACGGCATCAAACAAGAAAGAGAAGGGGAAATATACTCACAATTAAAATGGCTACAAAACAGGCTAAAGTTGTGTTCCAGTCTCCACTGGCTGTTGCTGAAGCTTTGCCAACTAGAACACTGTAGAAAATGAAATCTCCTAAGCCAAGCTTAACTCCTCCTGCCAAAGGGGAAAAAAACCCTGCTGGTTAGAAATTAAAACCATTGTATGAAGCAACTTATGTTTAGTCACGGTGCATTTATTAAGACCAAGAAGAAATGGAACATTTAAAAGTGTGGTACTTTATTATTATTATTTTTTTGCTATCAGTTCAATTAGAGATGTTCTCTACATGTTTGTATCTGAACAAACTTCAGGACATATTTTTAGCTACCACATTTCAAATGGATTAATGAAGAAAAATAAGCTGGAAAGTAAACTAAGATATAAATAAATCGTTTTGGCTATGAAACCTCTTCGCTGTCTCCAGCAAAGTGTGTGAAGGAAGAAGCAATGCACACTGTTGGCAAAAAAGATTATTTTCATATTTTGTCTTAAGAAACTGAGATTCAATTGTCTGTCAAGGACAACTGATTAGGAATCATTTTAAAATACGGTGCTAACAAGTTGTCTGCCAAGTGTTTAAGAACTGGCTCTGCCAACTCCAGTGCCACCTCCACATCCCTAGTCACAGAACAGCTGATTTGCACAACAGGCATCACAGCTCAGCTTTGCTTCAACCAGCACCCATAATTCCTGAAAAATTAACAATTGGTTTTCACCACCCGCTATGAGCTAGCTCTGGCACACTGTTGATGATTGTTGAACCCAAATGGAAAAACAGTCCGGGGACTGCAATCTATCCCCTCCCTGCTGTTGCTCAGAAGCAGAGAATGCAACTATATTGAACAAATCCTGCTATTATTGCTTTTCCTCTTTATTACACAAAACACCTAATATGGTTCTAGATACTGCCTACAAGATTCCTCTTAATCCTTTTGCCCTTTTGATGCTGTTATCAAGGAAATTAAGGTTAAAGGTTAAAGTCAATGAAAAGGCATTTATTACAACTTTATAGTGAAAAACAACTTCTGTTTTTCTGCAGAGAGAAAAAAACATGGGTAAATTGCACTTTGTGCTCAAAATGATATTGTCACATGTAAGAGCATATACCTGCCTCAATGTCTCCTACAAAATTCTTATTATGTTTTAAGATATATGTGTCTACTGACAGTGCATTTTTATAATTAAACCTATGTTTACAGGTTATCAACTGATCTATTGCCTTTATTTGTACGATAATGAACAGCTTGGCAGCACTTAAGAGTAAACAGTCCATTAACATAAAACAAAAGGGATCGATTTCCATCCTAAATTCTTAAGCACTATCATGATGTTTGGAATTCTAAGGTACATCCTTGATTGATTATGAACATTTCCTGATGCATAATAATCACCTCCAAAGTGGAAGGAGGAATTGTACATGATTGTGGAAATGAAAAGCCATCAGCCCAAGTGTGCAATGATCACAACAATCATTGGTCTCTGGCCCTCCTGTGGTAGCAAGGGGTGCACTGGTGTCATTGGAATTATGCAATCAGAACCAGAAAAGACTGTCCAGAGCAAAAGTACTGAAGCCATGGCCTCTGATAGAACTAAACTATACAAGGAAGATTACAGAAAAGGAGTACTACAGTTTTAAAGATGAACTCTTGAGTAAACTAGGCAATATGCACCAAGACCTGTATCTTTACATGGGAAAAAAGGATCATCTTCTCAACTAATTTTGAAAAGTGAAGCCATGCATGACAACAAAAAGCTACCAGATCTACTACAATTCTAGGATAGGTGTCTGATATTAACTAGAACTCAACTGAGCCACCTCTTCTCAGAATGATACTCACTAAATATATTCCATACTGAGAAGTTGTCAGTGCCCTTAAGGCAGTGATGGTTAACCTTTTTGGCACCGAGTGCCGAAACTGGAGCATACGCGCATACGCACACCGGAGCACAGGAACCCAGAAGAGAGCAGCTGGCTGCTGATTGTGCACTGGACCAACTGTCATGCATGCGCATAAGGGAACTCAGAAGAGCAGCTGGCGATGGTGCGCACGCCCACAGAGAAGACTCTGCGTGCCACCTGTGGCACGCGTGCCATAAATTCGCCATCACGGCCTTAAGACAACTGGTACAGAACAGGTTTCCTATGAGCTATCTTCTTGAGCTCTCACCAGAATGCTCAAATTAAGATTTAGATTTCTAATAAAACAAAACAAAAAAACAAAAACAAATTATACACAGGAATACTACAGCTGTTTGAGAATCTCATTCTAGAGACTAGATGTCACAGAAACAGTTTATCAGCCCATTTTCTTGGTAGCATATAATAGTTAATGCCAGAATGAATACTGGAGCAAGGGTCTCTGATGACAATTGCTTGGAAGATCACTGTCAGCCAAAATAGGATAGCTGTCTTCTACATTGATAGCATCTGTTCTATGTAAAGCTAATTTGCTTTAGAACTTAGTGTCTTGCAAAGAGGAAACTCTCATTTTAAAACTGACAAAAGATTTCATCTGGTCAGGGATTCAATACAGTCAGTATTGAATCTCCCTTGATCTGTTACCATTGACACGTGTACTGGTTTATGTCCCTTGTCCTTCACCCCAAAGGTCTAATCAATAAGGACATGATCACAGCATGGCAAATTTCATCACCCCGCTTACCCAAGATGTACCCAACCCTCCTCCCACTGCTGGTATCCCAGTGCAGTATATCTTACTAGCCTTGTCTGGCACTTGGATTTCCCTAAAGCCTTTCTTTCCTTTGCTCCATATTCCCTGCCACCCACCGCCTATATCTGCGTTATATTCTGAAAAGGAAAGTGTTCAATCTTGGATTTTTATTACGGTTTGTGCATAAAGTAGCTTGCACATCCTTTGTACAAAGACCATCCATCTGAAAAGGGGAATTGAAGGTTGCATGGAACACGTTTCCCAACAACTTTTTCAAGGTCATAAGGATCTTTGGCAGAACAAAGATATGAACAAATGAACCAAAAATAGATATAATTATGATGCAGAAAATATGAACTAGCAATCTGTTCCTTTTAAAAATACCAGAGCAATGAATTTATAAAATTAAAACTTAGCATAAACTCTATGACAAGAACAGAAAAAAAATCGAAATAGCTTCATCAGTGATTAAAAGGAACTGAGGTAAAGCAACAGCATTACTCTTGGGAACACCACGGCAGAGATCTGTTCAGGCATGTCAAAATGCAGCTTATGTTACTTCTACCAAAATAACTCATTATTAAGAGGAATTCTGGCTATAAAGTTGCAAGGGATCATTAAAATTAACATATTTTCTGTCAAGTCTGAAAATAATTACACAGATCATTCTGCATTCACAACAGTTTTTGATTAACAAGTAAGCTCACACTTTCCATTAGACCAGTCGTTCTCAACCTTCGCAATACCACGACCCTTTTATACAGTTCCTCATGTTGTGGTGACCCCCAACCATAAAATTGGTGTCTCGGTCCCTAAGACCATCGAAAATATGTGTTTTCCAATGGTATTAGGCAACCCCTATGAAAGGGTTGTTCGACCCCCAAAGGGGTCCCGACCCACAGATTGAGAACCACTGCATTAAACCAGAGGTAGTCAACCTTTTTATACCTACAGCCCACTTTTGTATCTCTGTTAGTAGTAAAATTTTCTAANGCCGGTGAGATTTGAACAGCCGAACTGCAGAACTGCAGTCAGCTGAAGTAGCCTGCAGTGCTGCACTCTAACCACTGCGCCACCTCGGCTCTCTGGTGGATCTGGTGCTTTGTTCCTGTTCTTCAGTTGCCCGGATCAATGCTGTTTTTTTTAATGTAGCCCTTTCTAGGCACTCTCAGGATTTCCCAATGTCAGCCAACTCAAGCTATGTATCAATGATACATGGCACTTCCCCTATTTGATCATCCCTTTTCAGTTCCCTCTTTAATTAATCCAAAATACGACTTCTGTGGTTTCTACGATACGAATGCAATGGGTTGTCTTGAGCTACACACCCTGACTCCAAGATCCCTTTCCCAAGCTGATATTTCAGTTCACATTCCATTAATGCACTCGAAAAAGAAATTTTGTAGTACCACACACTAGGCAACACTACACTAGGCAACACTTACACTGAATCACAATTGCTGTTTTGAGATCCAATAGCCCAGACCTAAACTCTAAAATAATGCAACTTAGATACTGGGGTGTATTTTAATTTAGTTCAGGGGGCCACCATGATATCCCAACATTAAAGAGATAAACAATAAAGGTAAGAACCATTTACTTTTTAAAACATTTAATTCTTAAAGGGGAAAGACGTAAATTGGCTTTATGTGAAAATACAACAGATGAAATCAAAGAACTGTGCTTCCATTGATAGGAGACTTCTGTCAGTAAAATTTGGGTTAACAAAACCCCATCTGTTAGGAAGGATTAAGGGAGACCTCTGGAGTAGATATATAAAGTGCAAGAGGAAGGTGACTCCCGATTTCTATTGATGTAGGTTTCCCACTAGTAGAAGAAAATTTAGAAGGAAGGATTCACCCAATATCCTATCTATGAATGAAAATATCCAATGCTATTTCATAATTACATGTATTTGTTCAAAGAAACGTAAATAAGCAGAAGAGTTATTTAAAATTGGAAAAATGAGAAGGAAGGAAGGAAGGAAAATTTTCTTTTCTAAAACTGCATCTTTTGAGGAACTAGAGGAAAAGGGATTTCTAGCAAAAACAAAAACAGCAAATATACTGAGAATAACTGTATTTTGAAACATTGGTTAAAAGAATAAATACAGAGGAGGGGAAAAAATAAAGTTTGTCACAGCAAGAAAAAAGCAATTATGGAAAAAGTTAGTTACGTACAGCTGCCCATCCTTGCGCGTATAGAAACTGACAGACTTGATAGTCGCAACCACAACTACCATACATAATGTGACAGGCACAAAGAGCATGATCACGTGCTTGGCCCCATATTTCAGTGTCAACTCTTCCTCTTCCTCCTCGTCTGGCTCCACCACTTGTCGAGGCCTTTGCTGTGGCTGTCCATTAGTTGCTGGAGTAGGATTATTAGCTCCCCGGTCACCGCTCTCCTGTTGTCGTCTTTCGTTGTTGACATTCTGAAATTAAGAATATTTACATCCGTAAATATTTCCATGTTTTATGTGTCCCTTGAGTTTTAAATTCTAAAAGTCAACGATCTGGGAGCACCAAATGCTGCTAGACTGCTGGAGCTATGCAGAAAATGGCCTAGAAGGGGAATGACCATCAAAACCTTGAGATGTGGGCTACTTACTTTCCTGTGAATCAGTTTCTTTGTTGTGGAGTTGTCAGCATGGCATTCAGGCTTTCAGTAACAACTTAAGCAGCATAAAGTGTTTTAAAATGCAAAGAAAATAAATCAGAGGTGAAACTCAATTTCTTTAATCCTATAAAAAACAGATTTAATTCTATCTGCTCCTCCCAGTCCCACAGTGCTTCTATGGCTCTTGTTCTTTGACCTTCTGCCTGCACTTTACCCTTTGCATTTTCATTACAAGCGGCAAGCATGCAGATGGCTTAAACCAATATGGCGCTTTTATACAGGAGGTTAAGTAGAGAGGCGGCAATATGTTTATGACATTTTGAAGAGTCCCCAAAATATGATGTCCTGGTTTGTATATCAAAATCAAGTTTCCAAATGTTCATATTATTATTCCCCAAGAAGTGAAATCATAGGTTAAGAACAAACACATATCAGACAAACAAGAAAATTTGTCAAAACTGGGATCCTATATTTCCATCTCTGGTGAAAAATATGTGCAATTTAAGAAAACCTTTATCAAACTTATTTAATAAAAAATGCAACAATTCTGTGATCCAAAGGTTATTTACAATGAACATTTGGGATTGTTTTATAACAGAATTAATTTTCATAAATAAGTAAAATTATTTTCATACTGATAGCTCAGAATATAGAATACTGTTGCAAGAAGAATAAATAGGAAAAAAAAGAACATTTATGTCAAACATTATAAGAACATTTATATGTTAAATTACGCTCTGAGCTACAATTTGAAACTGCTCAAACAAGATTACTCACAGATGCCTAGAATGTAAAGTCTGTGCAAAGGTGCATTTTTAACGGCAAGGAATCATGTTACAGCTTTTGTACTTTGCTTTAGTATATAGAAAATACAGGTCCCTACATGATTAGCATTAAATAGAACAGAAAATTTACCTTTAGCAGAAGCAAAGGAATAGATTCTTCAACTTCACTAGCCATTAAGGAAGTAAAGCCTTGAAAAAGATTTGAACTAATTCCATTTGTACTCTGTGTGTACAAGAACGCACTATATATATATCTTCAAAGTGAATGAGTAATACCAAAGATAAACAGCAGCCTTGACAATTATCAAAGTTATAGTTAATATGAAATCCAAAGCAATCCTTTTAAAGGTGTAGAACATCGAAAGTAGTACTTCAAACGTAATGTCTCTGTACATTTTCAATCAACATTACAAGGCATTGCATATGGTTTCAAAATGTTAATATACTGACTTTAATATTATGGCTGGTCTCTTGGTTCTTTATCACTCAAGAAATTTGTACAGGTAATCCTCCTCGAGTTACGACAATTGAGCCCAAAATCTATGTTACTAAGTGAAACATCTGTTAAGTGAGCTTTGCCCCATTTTACGACTTTTCTTGCTACAGTTATTAAATGAATCATTACATTTGTTAAGGGGGAAACACGGCTGTTAAGTGAATTTGGATTCCCCGTTGACTTTGCTTGTCAGAAGGTCGCAAACGCTGGTTCACATGACACAGGGACACTGCAACCCTCATAAAGATGAACCAGTTGCGAAGTATATGAATTCTGATCACATGACCATAGGGATGCTGCAACAGTTGTAAGCAACAGGTGAAAAATGGTCATAACTCACTTTTTTCATAGCCCTTGTAATTTTGATCAGTCACTAAATGAACTGTTGTAAGTTGAGGACCACCTGTACAGAGACATCCAAGGTTATGAAGGCAGCTACTATCTAAGCAGATTTTTTAAGTACAACGCTTTGGGATGACACAAATTGTCTGCTTACTCTGAATCTCTCTCAAGCAAGACCGTGCCGTATAACAAAATACGGTGCAGAACATACCAGGACTACAATTTCCCCTGCTGCTCCTTAAGTTTGAAATTGTAAAAGCAGCACATCTAACAAGTGCCAGATTGTAGAGACTCATGCTGATTTGATATATAGCATGATTTTATTTATGAAAAGAATCACAAATCCAGAATCTGGGTAATAATTACATTACATGGAAAATAAGATTTCCCAGGAAATAACTTTAAAAAGATAACGTTAAAATCTGGGGTTCGAGGGGGGGGGGTAGAAGTTAAGTCCTAAACCTTCCTGTGGCGTGCCTAATGCTTAATACTCTCAACTCTCTTGTGTAACATCTACATGAGACGGTTGGGGGTGATGATCCTTTGTAGGGTTGGGTATCATCAATCTGTATATATAAGAGAACACCTATTGCAGAACGGGTTTGTATATGTGGTAAAGGAGAAGTGGAAGATAATTCACATGTTCTATTACACTGTGAGTTATACAGAGCTTGTAGGTCTGCACATATTCTCCCCTTATTAGAGAGATTGCCAGGGAGGGCAGACCATTTTTATCTAGGCTTTCTCCTTCAGGACACTAACCGGGTTACCATGTATGCAGTGGCAAAGTTCTGTGCTGCTGCAATGTCCATAAGAAAAAAATTGGCTACAGAAGTATAGTTGTCATCTGGTACCAATTATCTGGACATATCTCTAACAATTTCTGGACCATTGTATTTACTCCCATGCTTAACAGCTTTGCACCCAGGTAAACCAGGGAGTGACCTGAACAATCTGAGAATGTGTATGTTATTTTCCACTTTTAACGTCAATACTTTTCAATTATATCTTAATGTCAGTACTTTTTAACATATTGTAAAAACTAATGTATATTGCTGGTCTTTGACCGTAATAAAGATTTACTTACTTACTTACTTACTCAATCTGTATATCTCAACTTTTAGCCAACTAAACAATATTTTTGAAATTTTGTTTTCCTGAAAGCTGTTGGATATGGAGGAATGGGCTCTGGATATGGAGGAACAGGCTCAGATGAAACCAGTGGTGGGATCCTACTGGTTTAACAACCGGTTCGGGGATTGCTTGTTCCGCGCCTGTGTGTGCCTGACGCATGCCCTGCGCGGGTGCAGTTTTAGCAAAACGTACCTTTCATGTTACTTCTGGGGAGTAACACAGCAGAGGTGCGGCAATCTGCTCTGCCACGCGAATCAGCTGAGAGGACATAGGAAAGTAAAGCGCAGGGGTGGGCGGGCCCACCTGTTCGTCCGGTTTGCTCGTCAGCTGATTGTCAGAGCTACCGGTTCGCCTGAACCGGTTTTAACTATCTGAACCCCACCCCTGGGTGAAACCCTAGTAAGGCTTGGTGGTTTTGTGTGCTTAGTCCTAGTAGTTCCATGTGCAAGTTGAAAGAGTCTTTCTGAATTTAGTACTCCTCCTTAAAGAGCAAGTTAATGATTGTGAACTAGAAAGTTTTTGTGTAGGTTCAGCTAGTGGACCAGTTAGACCCATTCCTGGAATGGCCCTCCTTATGGTCACTCATACCTGACTCAGGTTACAAATGGATTACTGCAACATGCTCTACATAGAGCTGCACAGGTACAGTATAGGTGGTATGCACAGCTGCACACGTATAGGTGGTACCTTGCTCAATAGTAGTAACTGTGAGAGGGATCTTGGAGTCCTAGTGGACAACCATTTGGATATGAGCCAGCAGTGTGCAGCAGCTGCCAAAAAAGCCAACACAGTTCTAGGCTGCATAAACAAAGGGATAGAATCAAGATCACGTGAAGTGTTA